CGCGGGCGCAGACGCTTCACTTCACCCAAATCGGGTTTCTGCGTTCACGCGCACCGCCCACATTTGTTGTGGGCAAACGCTAACTTGACTGTAAACAGTGTCAGTGTACAGCGAGCATGCGGTCGAAGGGTGCTTTAAGTGCAAGCCGAGGCGAGGAGCGCTCTGGTCATCGTTGCCGTTTCTAACCTACTCGCTATTGGCCTCGAGATCGACCTAGAGGTGGCGCTACGGTCGCGCTATCATCATCATCAAAGCGGGGATAGGAGAACGGCCGCCCTATAGGCTCTCCACGTTCGCGCGCGAGACGGCGTATATTCTTGCGTTTATTTTGTCGCATACTATCGGTGGTAAAACAATGCTAGCGGAAAAGGATGCGGTACTGTTCGGTGCTTCAGTGAAGATCGAATCGTGTTGCAAGCGTGCGGCCTAAATTTATATAATCGCTTCTGTGTGTGCGTCGTCTGCTTTAGGCAGACGTTGGAAAGCATGGATCACCACGACGGATGCCTGTCTCCGGCTGCACTGGAATATTTATGTTAAATATTTTTTTTCTTAAATGGATGTATTGGCTTATCAATGTGGCAATTAAAAAAAACAATGATTCCAACCCAGATAGCATAATACTGGTACTGTGGGCTGTGAAATCGCAGCTTCTATGCTTTTTTTCTTAACTTCTAGCTTTTGCAGTAATATAAATATTTATAATGAAGATAAGTTAGCGCCGTATTGAAAATTACCATGCTATTGAGTTCCTCTGCCCTTTTATTGTGCCATAGTGTGGATAAGTTTTGTGGAGTCTGAACAAATCGACTGCGTTGCGATGAGGAGAGAGTGTCTCTTCTAGTTAAGATCTTCAAACTGCACGGTTGGCAGGACAACTGAAACAAGGGAAACAAACTGTTTTAATATATCTTCCGTGACTGTAATAAACGGGTGTGACCGAGCAACGCAGCAGTGTTCCTGTTATTAAAGGCTTTTGTCGGTAGCGTGGGTTCATTCGCTTCGATTTTCTTGGTGAGGGCCGCGGATGTCAAGAGGCTAATACTATAAATTTCTGGCTAAATAATCTTGTATTCAAACACGGTAGACTCTGCAAACCCAACGAACGACGCGCACCACGACACAGGCAGCATCGGCCACACTGATACTCTTTTACTGATAAGGGCTAGCGAGGCTTTACGAGACTTTCCGATCACCCTCCGCCCTCACCTAACGTAAGACTGGGCAGTTCATCGATTAACTTTCAGATTATTCAAGTAATGCTTTAATTGCACTTTTTTTTTCTGCCAGTTAATTGGAGTCTTGTGCTCGAGAAAGTCAAGAAGGAGTAAAAAATGCCTGCTTTAATATTTTTGGCGTCTTCATTTCTTTTGTGACACTGGCTTGCACGGTAAACCACTTCAGAGTGCTTGTCATTCCACCGAGGGTAATTATAGTGTTTAAATAATAACTTAAGAAATACTTCATTTTAGAAGGCTTCCCGTGTTCATATTTATGTAGGACTCACAACGTGAAGTTAAGAATGGGAATGCAATATGCCACTTATGACATAGTAAAACCAGTAAAAAATGTGTAGTTTTAACGTCTTTCACGCAATATGACCGGCGAAAAATCAACATACGGATTTATTGATTGATTAGTCCATTACAGGATACCGATTAGTCGGGTTAATTTTCTAATCAAACCACAGACCCACTCAACATTCAATACTTTATGAAAGCCACGGTTTGTGCGAGAAAACAAAAATACGTGGGACTAGCGATTGTATACAAACCAACACAAGATTATGGAAGCTTCTGACTTATTAATAATCGCTTTGCTGAATTTATACGCATGGGAAACGATACAACCCAACCTCTAGTAAGAAGAAACGGCAAGAAAAAGAAAACATTTATTAAGGAATGTCAAGCTCAGCCTGAAACGGGCTTGCCTCGTCGAGATCCATGCTTCTAAACGTGCGCCCGTAGCAGACGACGCACGGCGGTGTCCCCGCCTTCGCGCGTTTCTAATTTCGGCCGCACGGTGGCGACATGGTTCAATCTCGAGGCGAATACGAAATACAATTGCCAGGCACCCAAGCCCCGGTGTAGGAAACAGTAATGCCGTCCAACCTATAGTCTTTGTTCACATCTTATGCTCCGATGCACGGTGCACGTGATCCGCGCAGCACTTGGAAGAAAGCGGGGCGTAGCATTGGAGACGCCTTCCAGGCCTCCGTGTTTCTTTCCACCACTCACTGGTTCTGCCACGCCACTCGACGCGTCGGGATAGAATACGTTTATTAAGCACAAAACATCACCTCGGTAGAAGAGGAAGGAGAGGTCGAAGCTCACGCTGTCCTATTCCATTTTTAGTTACCCCTGAAGAAGGAGTCAAGTCGACCCCGAAACGTTGGGAACTCTTTGTTTCTAAACTTTTGGTTTGAGTTTTCTATTTTTCGAATTGTTCCCCAAACCAGACAGATTTCTGTCGAAGATGTTTACTTTCAAGTTTATTAAGCAACATGTGTTTTTTTTTTAATGCGAAAGCATGAACTGGGGGGTCATGGAGCGAAGCGGCGTTATCAGCTTCTGAAGCCGCTCCAAGCAGCATCTAAACTCTTCTGTCCCAATAGAGCGAAGCTTGTCGTCTGTAGCAGTGATCTGATGTTTCAAGGAATACTGGCCCAATCGTTTCTGCAAGAAATACGACGCATCGCGCGGAAAAAAAAAAGATTATGTTGTATCGGTCTCTGCCAAAACGACTTTTTTCTGGAAAATAAGTAACGTTCGGTAGAATTAAGTTATTAATTGCTTTTGAAGAATTAACTTCTTTAAAAAAATTGTACGTCTGATTTCAATTTTAAAGTTTCTAGGCATCATTCATTACCATCATATCGTAAGGCATTCGCAACATTTTAGCGCGCTCCCCACAATATTTTCAAATTGGACGCGTACTTATTTTGGTTTCCTATAAAGACGCATTTCTGGCAGTCTGGAGCGGTCCTGCATGTTGAAAGCGTGCAACCACTGCCTGGAAGACAACACTGTAGTGCTGATATTTTTGCGTCACCACCGAAGGCCAACGCTGGACACCGATTGGAAAATAGTGCTGCGTCGGCTCTCGGCTTCGAGTCAAGTTTGAGCCGAACGTTGACGCAATCGTCGCAATCGTCGTGTTTAATCTGTGCTCAGCGTTTACCTTCGCTGATGACGACATCTCTATCAGCACTACGGCTCTGTTTTCTAGGAAGTGTTGCCCTGCCTCTCTCGTAGGAGAGAAGGAAGTGTATCAAATGCCGGCGAGATGAAATGCTGCGCTGTTCAAATGAAATTGCAACAATAAGCTTTGATGCTTCGGTTCACCTTTATCATCTCAAGAATGCGTGACGGCGCTAGTTAATTGTGCGAGTGATGGCCACTGGCGGCACACTCAATAGGCCGACTTTGCGGAAAAAAGTACTTTGTTCACATTCAGTGTCTTTAGCTGAGGAGCTGAGGGCAACGTTACTAGATCAAATCAGTTGAAAATTTTTCGCGGAGATGCGCCCCATAGGACCTCTGGCGCAAAAATGTGCTCCAGTAAGCAACTCAAACCTAGAAACGCGTCCAGATGTTTTTGTTTTGGGAACGGCGAAATATACTACACATGTCTTATATATTTATAAGCTTAGCTGATTTTGTGAGGCTCGACGATGTACAGTGATTTTCTTGTTGAAAATACACATTTAAATTTACTCACAAAACATTAATTACTAAAATAACTAACAACCTAATTATTACAAATGTCATTAATTTTCCTGACCTGACATTTAGGCACGAAGCCATACGGCATCAATATTAAGGCGAAAGCCTTATATGTCTCATCGTTCAGTCGACCTTCAAAGTCCTTAAGCGAAAACACGTCGACGACACGAAAAGTACGAGAACACATCGGCGACACGAAAGATACGAAAACACATCGGCGACACGAAAGGTACCAGAACCCACGGTTCGCCACTGAACCACGAGATGGCGTTACTTCTGCCAGAATCGGCGGAGGCGCACGCGCGGAACAAGCCCAGCGGGAGAGGAGGAAACTCTCGCTTGGGCATCTGTAAAGAGCGGGCGTGCGGCATACCGTGAGATTAACGGCGCCAAATGTGCGTCGTCGGAGAGCGCGCTGTCTTCGGAGGTTCGCTATCACCGGGATCGGCGCTTGGGCTTTCACATTCAAGTCGTCGTAAAGGTGATATAAAAGACACTGTGTTTTTTTTGTTTTTTTTTGTTGTTGTTGTTGTTGTTTCTGCGCGATGTTTATTTTTTGCAGGAACTGCTTGGCCGAGGTTTTGTGAAACACCCTGTATTCTGTCACCGCTGCAGCAGTTGGTATAATCCGGAAATGTAATATACATATAACGAGTCTGTCAAATATGCGCAAAGTACTGCCACAAATTTCTTTACTCTGTTTCACCTTGTGTTGTACCGCAGGAAAGGCTACAAGCGCAAGCTCCTTGCTCTATGGCACACCTCGGCGGCACAAGCTCTCGTGCACCAAGGGCAGCTGCCAACGCTATGAGCACGCGCTTCTAGCTTTCGCTGCGGTACAACATAAGGTGAAATGGAGTATAGTACTTCTGTTATCAACGTTGGCGCCGTTTCGGTGTTTCACATAAGGCACTTTCGTTTCACACGCAAACAGTTGCAATTTGGTCGGCCTTCTTAGTTGCTCCGTTTCGCTCTCTGCACATCTGCAGTGACCATTTAGTTATCACACAAGTTTCTGCTTGCTTAAACAATGATTATTTACACCCCTAATGGAGCAAGACTTGTAGCGTCTAGTTCGGTGTGTTATCGAATGATTTGAAATCGAGTCTCTTATTCTGCTCGGCTACAGCCAGAGGAAGAATACACTAGAAAGGCGAATGACAGCTTCATCAATAACCGCATATCACAGCCCGTCATGATTCCAAAGTTTTTGTCGTTGAACTGGCCTGGAAATGTTTACGCGCGCGTCCAAAAGGGCGCAGTCAAGACGCAGACTCGCAAAAATAAAGGGAGCTTTTATTTTTGTCTTTATTCACGTTGCAAACGACGCACACGTCAAGAACGTTCAGAGGGGAAAGGGAACTTTTGTTAAGGCGTGAACAAGATATTCCGTGTACTCGGACTTGAGCTCGCGCTTTAGGATTTGGCCCACTTCGTAGGTGAAGCCTCTCGTTAACCCACGCTCAAGGGGAATGTCTCCGAGTCCGGTGAAATTGAGCGTGGAAGCGAAGGGCTTGAGGGGCTTCAGTCGGACCTCGGGTATGCGCCCCTCAACGGCTGTAGCCTCGAGCAGCGCGTAGTTGGGGGCGATCGTGGCCACTGTGCGGACAGTCCTCTCCGGGCCTCCCATGTACCGTATGTCGGAGACGATGTGGACGCTCAGGCGATCCAGGAGCACGTTGCAGCTGACTGTGAGGCGACCAGGGGAAGAGTAGCCCGGCTGGCTGCAGTCTCCGGATCGCCGAACCTGGCTGAGGCCGGTGATTTTGACGTCCTTGAGGTTGGCGCGAAGTTCGTCCCGAGTTCCCAGGTCGGAGAAGTAAGGCTGCGCCTTCAGGGGGTCCATCCCGAATTTTTGCGATAGCTGGGGAATCTCCCGCTCGAGCACTTGGTCCATGAAGACGTTGGCGTCGTGCACTGTCGCGCCATAGGCGGCTGGAAGGACGTAGGGCGTAAGTGTCCACTCCTTGTGGCCGCATCCCCAAGAGCTATTTATGCGTAAAAATACTTTCAGCGAGAAGGAGAAAACAAGCCTGCGTATGGAACTTTGACTAACCCGCTCATTTTAATCACCGTGAAGACAACGACTGGTCCTTAAAATTGTTTTGGCTTAACTGCACGAATAGATATTTAATCTAACAAATATCTACATTAAAATATTCTTCGTCGCTACACATTCAGATGGAAGCTTCAAAGAAATCTATCCTAAAACAGAAACAAATATAGGTTCTAAACAACGAAGCTAACGACAAACGGCAATGAAACGTCAAACTGGTTTTAACTTAAAGTACCAATATCCGCATTTAGAATATTGCTGACGAATATGGTATAATGTTAACGAACTAATTAAGAAAACGAAAGCACACACAAAAAGGGGCGGCGATGGGCGTGCACTTACTTGTCCGTATCCGTTGTTGTTATCTTTTAGTGCTTCATTATCATTTCAATATCGTCATTTAAACATCGTAAAAGACTTACAAAGAAAAAAAGCAGACGTTGAATTTTGTGTCTGCTTAGTTTCACGTAATGCTGGCCAAATCGGTCCTACGAAAAGTACGAATCGCAAAGAATGTCGTTGATGTAATTTTGGTCTCTGCCAGAGCTTATTTAAGGATCTAATAACGTTCAGTATAATTACAAACTGGCAGCCACGTGCGAAAAATACACACACTAAGGGAGGAATGAACAGAACAAGCGCTGAACTTTAACTGATCATTTATTGAAAAGAAGACACAGAAGTAAACAACCACACCGTAATCACGTAAACACCTGCTGAAAGAAGTTCTCTCTTTCCTGTGTAAATAAACTGACATCTGTCTGACACCATATAATCACCCTCCTATCTTATCTCGTAGGCTTCTAGCAATTCCCTTGCAGTTTCTCCAGCCCCTTCCCCCAAAATCGCGATGCTGTCAAATTTTTGCTGACACAGGCATGTGACATAGTGCGAGACAACTTCACGGGACTAGGTGACGATTCCCCTTTACATTTTTAATTAAACGCTGAGCTGAAGTTCGGCGCTCGTCCTGTCCATTCCCCCCTTGGCATTTTTGTCGCCGCTACCGGTTTGTAATCATGAACCAAATCGCCTGCATCGCTACATCGATCTAGTTTAATTAGGTTCTTAATCAATATTGAGCAATAAACTTTTCATGAGGTCATTGAGATGTATGATTTCAGTTACAAAGTTTGCGGGCATCACAAAACAATAGTAAATCAGCGAATTTTACAAAAATATAAGGCACGCACTCACGGTAATTGAGGCGTTAAAAACACTCAATTTGAACGGATCTTGAAGCGCACTAAGAGGTCCTCCGACACAAGCCCAGGTGGGCTGCCCAAGTTGGCCCCCCGTCGGTACCGCGAGGGCAACCCGTGTTGGCTACACGAGCAGGCCCCCTGTAGTTCCCACGAGGGAAGCCGAGGTGGGCTGCCCGAGTCGGGACGACTTGGGCCCGATTTGCAAAACCGACGTGGGATTCACGTGGACAGACGATGTACGACACCCGTCGGCCCCGCTTTTAGAGCCCACTTTATGCTACTTGAATTTGATTTCCCACTAAAATGCGTCTCCTCGCCAGTGGTCGAAGCGCCGAAGTAACGTGCGCCGCATCCACACATTCTTTGCACGACTGAGGTTAACCCAAGAATCATATTGTATTCTCAAAATGTCATTTGAACAGCATATCGTTTCATTTCGGAGGCTGGCGCCTCACTTCTTTTGTGCTTTCTTATTCTTTTTAAAGGGGGGGGGGGGGGGGGGAGGAGGAAAAATGGGGAAGCGAGGAGAGGCGAGGGGCCCGGGCCTACCACACTTTCTTCTGTTGTACGACTGAGGCACGGTTCTGGTTGCGTGCTTTGTACTTGAAGGGCAGGACAGCTTGAGCGGACATGTGCTTTGATAAAAAACCAAATCCTAAAAATCGCTTAATCTTTTTTTCCGCCATGGAAATCTGCGTTTGCTTTATATTTCGGTAAAGTACAGTAATTCAGTGCTTTTTTGATAATTGTCATAAAATTAAGAATTAAATGCATGCCTTAAACTGTACTACATTTAATATTTATAAGTCATATAGAAACGAATACCGAACACTCTTATATTTTTATAAATAAGGCCTTTGGCACAGATCAATAGGGCATTAACACTTCCTGTGTGATTCGCATTTTTCGCATAAGTGATTTGAACAGTTCTCTGAAAAATACCTTGTATAGTATATAACTTGAGCATCAAATCCATCTTTAAATGCCATCAAATTGTTGAGCCTTTACGTGTCAATTCAACGATGTTCTGGCACACACCCAGTCAATCACTTAAAGTGAATATAGACTCCGTGAACGCTGTTTGACGTGCAGCGTAAATATCAGTTACAGGAAGTCTGTACATCGCAGTATGTCAACGCCAGATCGGACACCTCACACGAAACTCACAACCGCCACCTAGGGATCCGAATCACGGTACCTTGACTCGGAACCACTAAAGCGACTGGAAAAGTGAAGTTACTTGTTCTACAAGGAAGATAAAATCTTGTAATATTTTAATGATAATTAGCAGTAGAGATAATAGACGACAGGGAGAACTCTTAATGGCGTCTCTATATTTGCGCGTCCCATTTGTCCAATTCTCTAAGTTGCTCTTCGAGCAAAGACGGACGTCAGAAACTGCTGCAAAGCGCTTCGATTGAAAATGATACGCATGCACTTACCGACGAAGAACGCAAGGAAGATAGGCAGGAACATCGTGATTCCTGTGAAAAAGAGAAATGCGAGAGTGAACGGATATACTGTCGCAAAATGCCTGCAGGAGTTCTCATTTGAAGAGTCCTTAGTGACAATTCCAAACTGTCTCCAATAAACCTATTCGTTTTCTTTCTAGAAGAGCGCAGCTCTTAGGCGCCCGTTTCCGGCTTGAGCGGCGTCGGCGTCGCCGTTGCTTTCGGCGTCGGCGTAACCATGCGGTGCATTATGGCTACATTTCCCCGCTATATTTAGCGAAAACGTTTCCCCCCTAATTTAGCTGAAGAAAATTCTTCGTTAAATTTAGCGGAAAACATATCCCCGTTAAATTTAGCGGAAACAATTCTCCGTTTAATTTATCCGAAAATTTTACCATAAACGGGAACGAGCAGGAGAGGAGTGGCATAGCCTCCCCTCCGTACCTTCCCCTCCTCCTCCTCAAGAGCTGCGCTCTAATTCGGCGTTACAGGGGGTGTAATCGCCTTTCATTTTTTTACGAGAACCTCATCAAAAAGAAAGATGAACTTAAGTTTTAATTAAAGACGATGGATGTGTTCCGTACTGTGCGTAATCGTTGGTGCTTTGAGAGAGACCTTAAGGTTTTAGCCGTATATTTCCGTTCGGCAACATTAACCTCAAAGCACTCCGGACCGTTATCAGACCACGTCACAGCTTGATCAGTCATATCATTTCCTTGAAGCGTACCTAACTGAAGATAGTGCTTGTTAGACGTAGCTAGAGAGCACTTAAAGATGTCTTTGGGAATGACAAAGTTACGAATGGCAAAGTTACAATTGGGAAAATATTACATATATCAGAACAACTTTATCTGCGAGCCTTGTCAGTTCAGCTTAATATTTCACTTTGAGTTGCGAGACCATTCAGCTATTCCGGATACTTAACGTCCCGCTGCAAGCGTAACCTCTACGAAAGACAATTTATCACAGTATGAGCGCGCTTTCTATATTCAAGCTACTATTCATGTATTAATCCGTTTAGCATTAGTACCCACGTGACAGGGAAAAGCTGACGGCGTCCTTCCGTGGACACTACAGTGGCAAGGAAAGCGCGCCGCGTAGAGAGGAGAAGACTAGTGAAGGATAAACGCGAGAGGAAGACGACGTCACAAGGCGGAAATCAATGCGCGCGCGGATGCTGGGGCGAGTCTGAACATGCAGGTGTGCGAAGCGCGGATGCCTTGCTTTGTGCTACAAAACGGAGTGTGAACGAAGTACTAACGCTGGTCCAAGTAGCCTGCAAAAGGAAGGCGGATTGTGAACGAAGGAGACGGGCTGCCGAAACCTGAGAACAGCGAAGGCAACGTTAGCCAGCGGATGCCGCTAGCGTCGCCCAAGGGTCATGCTAACACATTCCCTAAGGATCTGTGGTATAAGCCTTGGGTCTTAGGGGAAGAAGAAGAAAGGAATTACTCAGCTAACATGACGGCTCTGCTTTCTTTCCTCGCCGGATACGCATACTACATGGTGGCAGCGGATTTAACATCATTCATTCATGAACTTATCCTCCAAGCATATCAGGAGGGCATAGGCAGCAACCGAAGTCCACCACCGAAGTTGAAGCGTATTAGTCAAGCAAGCGCAAATATACAGGGAACCACCGGCAACCGCTTCGCCCCAGAAGGCTACCCCTGTGTTCGCTTGTCAATCGCCGCAACCTTTCGGCTTCACAAAAACCGAAGACTGGCCTGAACGGTAATTCGGCGCTTCGAGCAATTCCGAGTCTTAAGTGGACTTCGCAACAAACCCGCAACGGAATAAGTGAACATCTTGATATATTTCGAGGGCTAAAAGGCAGAAGAAATTCTGCTCTCACTTAAGATCACTGACGAGCAGTCACTACATTACGACGCCGTTAAGGAAGCTTTCCTATGCCATTTTATTGTGTGGCGGCGCAATATCATCTACGACCGAAGCGAATTCCATCAAAGAAAACAAGAACACGAGACCGCCGTAAAGTTCATCACCGATCTGCATGCTCTCGCCAAATACTGCAACTTCGGAGCCCTCCACGACGATATGATACGTGACCGCATCATCGTGGGAGTCCAGAAAACAATCCGAGAAAATGCAACTTGATGCAAAACTGACCTTGAAGTTAGCAGCCACGATGGCGCACCTGTGGGAAATAGTCAAAGGCCATCAAGACGCTTTACATGGAACCGACGTCAACGTCAACATAGTTCAATCGTTCAATACACCGGTCCCTTCCATAGCTCCCAAAAAGGGAAACACGCAACAGTAATGCTACTGGTGCGGCAGGGAGAAGCACCGCAAAGATAAAACTGTCCAGCGCGAAATGCCAAGTGGAACAAATGCCAGAAGCCTTGGTCACTTCTCAAGCGCTGGCCGGAGCGGCACTCACGTCCGAGAGGTAACCATATATGCACCAGAAGAGCCGTATGTCTTGGGAGTTCTTCATGCTACGGGAGCACAATCTTGTGATGTGACTGCGGAAGTCAACAACACACCGGTTATTTTTAAAATCAAAACAGGAGTCGACGTCACAGCTGTTCCCGAAAAGTTGCAAAGAACATCCCTCAGCCATGTGACCCTGACGACTCCCACACGGGCCTTGAGGGGGCTCAGTCAAGAAAGACTGACTGATCTCGGAGCGCAGAAAGCACAAATCTAGTACCGCGACGAGGTTATGACAACAAACATTTACGTGGTACTTGAGTTGCAGACTCCATTAAGCTCTAGAACAGACGGTGACATCCTGGTTGTTGTCAAAAAAATAAACGTGGTGCTCGTTTGTCAACCTACGACAGTGGACCCTAAGACCGAGTTCCCAGCACTCTTTCATGGTCTCGGTCACGTGAGGATGCCTTACGCGATAAACCTACGTTCGGATGCGTGACCTCTTTCCCTCGCATCTCCCAGAACGATCCCACTTCCCCTGACGGACAAGATCAAAGACGAGATCGCTAACATGGTCAGACTAGAAGTTACTAAAGGCGTTGAAGAGCCAATAGACTGGTGCTCTGCCATGGTGATAGTATAGAAGCCAGATAGGAAGTTTAGGATTTGCCTGAACTACTCCGAACTGAACAAGTATGTAGAAAGCGAACTGCATCCCCTCCCAGTCACCGAACACGCACTGGGACAACTCGGTGGAGCAAAGTTTTTCTCAAAAATAGGCGCCAATTCAAGGTTCTGGCAATTCGAGCTGGCCGAAGCATCACAAATCCTGACAACATTCAATACACCTTTCGGAAGATACAAGTTAAGCGACTGCCGTTTGGTGTCCCATCTGCTCCAGATTTTTACCAACGCAAGATGAGTCAAGTCCTGAGTGACATCGAAGGAAAAGTATGTAATATGGACGACATTCTCGTATGTGGGTCGATTAGGCAGGAACACGATACACTACTTTGAACTGCCTTATTCCATCTTTAACAAACAGGCGTAGCGTTGAACGTGAACAAATCCAAGTGTGGAGTCACACGCATCAAGTTCTTGGAACACATTATTGACCAAGGAATTCATTCTGACGAAGCAAAGGTGAAAGCTGTCAAACATATGACGACACCTTCGACCGTCACATAACTGAAGAGTTTCCTGGGAATGGTGAGCTACCTTAGAAAATTGATACCATGTTTTTCACAAGTGTCATACCATCTGACCACACTTCGTAGCTCTAAGAATCACTGGACCTGGGGAGAAGACCAACAGCGATCTTCCAAAAAGTTGAAACTGCACTCACCTCAAATTCAGTATTAGCTTTATTTGATCGCAGAAAACCGACTGTGTTGTCCACTGATGCTTCATCTTTCAGAATTGGGGCCGTACTTCGTCAATAATAATACAATGGACAGTACAGACCTGTGGCTTATGCAGATGCTTCACGGACAATGAAAAAAAACGATGACACTACGCTCAGAGAGAAAAGGAAGGGCTAGCTGTAGTATGGAGTTGTGAGAGATTTCGGGACTTCATCACGGGTATGAAAATTATAATCGAGACAGATCATAAACCCCTAATTCCGATATTGACATCACAGCGCTTAGAGGACATCACACCAAGACTTCAACGGATGAAACTCAGAATGATAAGGTTCTCGTACCAGATTAGACACATCCCATGTCTATATCTGGTGGCTGCAGAAACGTTGTCAAGAAATCCACTACAGGCGGTCGCGGACGCGTATTTTGCCGTCCGCGAACATGTTCACACGCAAGGGAGAAAAGAAAGAGGGAGAGTAGGAAGGAGAAAAAGTAAAATAGTGGTGATTGGCCCTTGAAGTCACGTGGCCCTCACCGGAGGCTGTTCCGAGTCGTGTGGATGCCACCGCCCTCACCGCTCGCTGCAGAGCTGACTACGCGGACTACGCAACTACGTCCGCCCACCAACGTCCCGCTTCTATCACTACGATGCCGTGTTCAAAGGTATAGGCGCGAGCCATGTATTCTATGACTTTGGCGAATGTGAAGGCGATGGATGGTCCAACAGTAAGTAACATGCACGCAGCTTGCAAAGCGTGGCCGGCGAGCTACGACAATTGCTTTCTACTTACAACTCCGGTAGAGCGCTAGGCATATAAACCGTCCAGCGCGCCGAAGTTACTTACGTTATGTAAATAAAGCCGCTTTTCTGATCGCAAACTGACAGACCGACGTCCTCGTTAATCTTCGCGTCGCGGCACTACATCGTTAGTTCTTTGCGGCGAATGCCCGAGTTCTGAGTGCTACTGGGGCGCGTTGTTAAGCGTTGCTCGAGCTCGCCAACTTGTATGCTGTTAAACGCGGAAGGGTTTTCTTTTATGTCTCGTACGTGCTGTCTCCGTAGTACGGCTCCGCAATACGCGATCCATTAATCCTGTACGTGCGAACCGCACTGTACAAATTCCGCCGCTTCGTATTCACGCTCGACTACATTAACGCAGTTCTGTTTACGTAGTTGGAGGCATGGGGCGCAGCTTTCCTTGCTCGAGTGTTCGTACGAAGCACTCATGCGTGACCGCTGCCACATCCCGACTGCGCCCCACACAGGCTAAGCGTGTTGGTGTATGATATGGTTATGCAAGTTTCGGCAAAATACATCTGGTTCTTTATGCTTTCATTCGGCGAATGGAGCAAGCACTCACCTGGGCAGAAAGTAGGCATTAAATTCGATAGTGTATAAATTAAAAGTCAATTCCCGATTTATGGTTGCCGTCACGCGGCAACAATGAAACTCCTATACATCTAAATTATTAGCTGGTTAAGGTACCCTACAGCGGGCGTCAGATTTCTTCTAACGGTACTCACCCCCCCCCCCCCCCCCCCCCCCCCCCCCGAATTTCAAGCGCGAATATCGACACGAGAGGCTCGGCACCTCTACCAATCATATCCTACCAAGAATAGAGAACACTGGAAGATTTAAATCCTTTTTCTATTTTTCAGTTTTTTTCTTTACGAATATATTATCGCACTTTCAGAATTGCACATTAGAGAGTGGCGCGCCGACACAGTAAAAAAAGTATCCGAGTGTCGTCTGCTAAGCTCGGAGCAGACGCGCTCTCGACGCTTTTGACATCCGTCGGGTGCAGATACAACTTGGCGAGCACGGTCGTGACATCGTCTGCGACTGCCACCGCAGACAGGCCAAAACCTGTTTCCCTTCTTTTTTCTTTTTTTTAAACAAGGTAAGTTTACTTGCCGATATTTTCCCTTCAAGCTTTTTCCACCAAACCGCACCTTTGTAGGCAATCGCAGCGCGATACGTTCAGAAACTAATTTTCGAGGACCTCCTTAAGTGGGTCCCAAGCGTTATAGTAAACACACTGTACAATTAAAACACGTCATAGAGCACAATAAACACCCCCAGCGTGTTGTTTTAAAGCTGTGACAAAAAAGACGCACAGTTGAGACAAACTTTTGTTCCAATAATCCACATTAATAACGAAAAGTCCGCGAAATTCACGCTACATGGGACGCGTCAAATGCGTATTTCGCATGTCATACTCCCAACCCCGTGTTAGTAGCATTTGTACTCCGCTTGGAGCGCTTCAAGCCCGACAAAACGAACCGGCATATATCTAGAGGGACATCAGGACGCATAAACCACGCAGGTTGTGAACATCTCAATATGAATTTCTACACTTGATTAAAATATTATGTTTATATTACACAATGCTCTTTTGAGGGACCATATTTTTTTTTTTTTTTTTAGAAAGGAATTTGAATAATGATGTGTGTGGGTGTTTCTGGCCCGGGGCTCAGTCGGGGGCCATGGAGCCTCTAGAAACGAGGGAAAATTTGTTAAGCTAATGAATTAAAACGTTCGGACTAACGCTTTAACAATTTCAGATTTGGGGCATAATGTAGTTTGAGAATTCACGCTCGACCTCAATTCCAAGCCGCGACGGGAAATTTCGATTAGAAAATTTCTGGTGGAGGTACGGGACGGGACGACTAAACAAAAAAAAAAAAAGCAAAGTTAGCTGGTAAGATTGTAAACAACTAAGACGCATGCAAGGAAAACTAGCGAAAGGTGAATTTTTGCTAGTCATTTAAATTTTTATAAATAAAAAAACGAATATTGGATAATTAACCAACGTCAACTGGCTGAACTTTCTGAAGAGTTATAGTCATTTATAATTTATCAAAAGTTATAAAGTTCCCAATCATTGAGTGCGTTTACATGTATATTGCTGAGCTGATTCAGGAAGCTTTATAAAATCGCCTCGCAAAAACTGGGTCCCGGTCTTGTTTTATTAGTGTGGGGTGTTAGATTCACGAAAATAATTCTAAACCACTGAGCTTCACTGAACTTTCTAAGTGCATACTTCATGAAACATCTATCGTGGTACCCTCAAGTGCTTTATGTTTTTTTAGAATTCAAAACCGGTTACTTTGAAAGTTCGCGAACATTTGAGGCTGACAATAATCAATATAGTTACACCGTGCAACAACCAACTCCAGAGACCTAAACAAGTTCTACGCAGTTAAACTTTTCTACGGTTTGCCTCTTTCTTCCCTTTGAAAGGCTGTACCGCAACGAAGTATGAAGCTATGCCCGAGTGAAGAGAAAAGAAAATGCTCACCAACACGCAATCCTCGAGTGCTGCCATTCTTCGCACGATCGGGCTTTTATGTAATACGGTTATCTTCAAAACACACTCAGGTCTTACGCAAAA